ACGGATGTATTACGTTTTACATCATAAGTGGACGTTTGTTTTCGCTGATATATAACGTATCCATATATTTAGAGGTGTGAGCTACGTGCCCCAAAACGTACGTGGACGAAATGACGGTCGGAGATTGATGCTAATATGGGAAGTTGCAGAATTTTTGGTAATAACAATAGTAGACAATCTTCTAGTGTTAGCAATTACACACATACTAATGGTAGTGGAATTAAACAAAATAATTCTAATTAAATAACCATTGATATGAAATTTCACAAATTAATAGTTCAGAAAAATATTAAGCCAAGTGTATAAATGAAAACACACAGAACAAAAATTTACTGAAAATGAAAATTAATTAAGAAATGTAAATGGATAATTATTTTTAAGAGAGAACTTTTTCCATTTTAAAAACGGTTTATAACAATATAACTTTCAAATCTCTCACAATTATATAGCACAGAGGTGGCCAACGGAGTCCAGTTGATAGTGGCAAGGCAAAAAATACAATATTTTGGTAATCTAGCGGAAGATGTTCAAACGCAATGCTCACACTAATATAAATAAGTAGTTACTAAGAATAATTTTCATTTTTATATTTTGCCTCTTAAAAACATGAAAAAAAAAAACTACAATACTACATAATTGTGTACTAATTTATGTTGTTTCCTTTGTGATTTCAAGAAGTATGTAATTGGTAGATACCCCTGGGTATGTCAGGAAATAATAGATCTTGCGTCTAGTCAAGTTGGTCTCTCCTGATGTACAAGATATATTTTTATTATAGAGTTTAAAAATTAAACAAAAAAAAAAACTTTTTCAGAAATAGTATAAAAATTATTACCACAGTGTAAAAATTAAAACAATACCTTACACTATGTTAATATTCCTATTATAATCTACTTTAGCAATTTTTGCATTCTTCTAGTTTATCTGTAATTACTCTGCACAATATTTCTCTATAATCATTAACGCCTGTGAACGTCATGGCGGAAGAATAGTAATTATATAAATCAACATCGTTTTACTGTAGAGTAGTGGCTGTGTATATCCATAATCGGTGATTATACCTCACTCAACATTTAGCATCTCAGTCATCTAAATATTCATACTTAATACCAAGTAATAAGAACACATTTCGCATAACAATAATGAAGATATAATGTTGAATTGTAAGGTAACTGTTTAATAGCTTATAGGATAAGTTGCAAGTGAATTAATACAATGCAACTGACATTATGTTACATAACTTTTGTTGATTTAATTTGTCAGGAAGGAGATTTGTTGTTATGTTAATAAATATTCCGGCTGTTCGATTACGTTGTGCTGTTTTATTAGTAAATAATAACTGAGTTATTTGTTAACTACAGTTAGCTATTTTTAATAGCTTAATTTGATATCTTGATGATTTCATAACTACCTATTATCTACTTGTAACTTAACGTTTAAGCTGTAATAACTCGGGCAATACTTAACTGTGGTCCAGGACTTCCAAAGTTAGTTTAAATATCAGCCAAAATTTTTTAATTTTTTCAATTCAAAAGATGATAATATCTTGCTTTGTTTTTCTGAAGGCATCTACAGCCATCGTCGAGTAAGTTACGATAGTGGCGTTCATATTCAATAATACGTTACACAGAGCGATTTAAAAATATTTGACAGTAGAGGGCGCCACTCTCTGTGGATTCTCTTTACCGTATTCGTGTTTCTATCGCCAAGAAGCTATACTTGCATGTTTCGGTTTAATAGATGAGACATAGCTATGAAATTATTGTTTGGAGGTATTATACCTTAGTTCTCAGAGATAGCGATTAGCAACGCACGAGGAGTACCTACCATGTTTATAATTGACAATTAATACTTTACATTAGGGGTGGGTAATATACATATATAGCAATATCTATATATTTTAGTTACAATATCAATATACTGATTGAGGACAGAAGGAGAAAAATGTTGGGACACTTGATACGACATGACGAACTTATGAACATTATAATAGAAAGTAAGATAGAAGGAAGGAGGATAAGAGGGAGACCGAGACATAGTCACATACATCAAGCAGATTAAGGAAGGAGTTGGTGTCGTGTCGTATCGAGAGGTGAAGAGACTCGTTGAAAATCGTAGTGAATGGCAAGATCTTCACCGACAAGAGCGCAGCTCTTAAATAGGATAGATGGATCTATATACTGGTTCAATAAAGAATATGTTAAAAGTATGTTATTGGGGGAAAGGGATTGCTAGTAATAGGATCTAACTGACCCATCGCTAGCAATACACCCTATTAGGTCTATCTCCACGCGATTCCCCTGGAAACCATCGTGGTCAATTCTAGTGAAATTCATCACGATGGGCTAACTGATCTGCTTTTATCGTTACCTATCATCCTTCACTGGTGCCCTGCAAGTGTATACCGTTACCATTTCATTATTACCCATTTAAAAAAAAAGTCTGTTATTCAAAAAATAATATTCGATAACAGACTTTTAACACATTCGAAAATAGATATCCGACAATATATTTACGAATATCGATAACCGATACCCAATATATAGATATCCGATCAGTATCCATAATACCCACGCCTATTTTCCATCAAGTGGTCCGTCCACTTGGAGTAAACATAACCTTGTATAACAACAATTTAACGGTATTCTTTATAGAAATTTCTATTTGTAATGTTAATTGTTATTGGTACCGTATTATAATCGCAAGTTAATTGTTTTCTATAATCTTCAATGCGTAAAGGTAACGAATTCAGTTACCTTGTTCCCAAAATGTCATGTCAAGGGTCCGGTATTGTGTTAACTCAAGCTTCTTCAAACGAGTTTTGTCTGGTATTGTTCTAAATTTAGATACGACTCTTCTAAGGAAAGAATAGTTACAAGAATTTGACATCTTTCTTTAAATAACTCGACTTTGTTAATTACTAATATTATAAATGTAACAATGAATTTATTTGTTATTTATTTATTTTACACTTTATTGCACCAAGTAAAAAAATAATAAATAAAATAAATATAATAAATTAAAAATGCCCTGAAAGGAAAGATAAAAACAAGATAAAAACGGTAATTGTCATAAATAATTATAATAATTTATAGAAGAGTATAAATGTTTTTCTAATAATATTAATATGTATTCAAAGTTCCACCAAGCGCCAATCATGATTTTAAATATCTTTTAAAACTTTCACGTAGGAAGCAGGACATATCAGTAGTGTCCATGACGAGTGCTAAAAATATTAAAAAAAAAACAAGTGAACGTTACTTTTATTCCTTTTTCAAAGTCAAGCGATTAAAATTGGAGCATTATTTTTATTCATTGCTAGAGGCCAATTATTGTGGCGACGAAGTAAAACAAGGTGTTACACTTATCTCTACGATTGTCATAGTGTGAGTCAAGTAATGGGACTTTGCTTTAGGTAATCTTAAAATAAATCTCTATACCACACCGGCTGGCCAGAGCGATGATAATAATCTAATAATTAATATTTACCTATCATTAATAAATATAGAAACCGCATGACTTGTAGAGTGTTAATTTTCTATAAAAAGGACCTGTTTTAATAGAACTTAACAAAAATATAAACAAACAAATAATTAGCCTGTAGCAACCCTGTCTTTTTAACAAATGATTTACAGGCGAAAAGCTTGTTGCTATGGTATGTACGGGAAGCTAGAAAAATATTGCTGTAACCTATTGTATTAGTGTCAGTACCCTTTGTATCTCCTGCATGTGTGGTGTGGCGTTATATCAGAATATTAATTATGCTTGTATACCATAAGATCGCTATTTGATTGCACCTAATCCTCATCGCGCGGTTTTCCCAAGAGATTACAGTATGGGGTTCTTCAAAAGGGGGGTAAAGAGGTTTCTTCAGGGTCGGCAACGCGCGCGTAATACCTTTGGTATTGCAGGCGTTCATAGGCTACGGTAACCGCTTACCATCAGGTGGGCCGTATGCTTGTTTGCCACCTCAGTGGTAAAAAAAAGAAAAAGCTCCAAAATTTTATCATACAATCAGCTGATTTCCAATGATAGTACAAATAAAATAAATCCATTAATTGACATATTAATTTTATTAGATATATTAAAACAGAATACATGTATACTTCTGCATGTTTATTGTCCATAATTTTGTCAAGATGTTAAAGAGCGTTCATAACGAAGCGTGACAACGACGCAATTATCTGTCAACTTTTAAAAAACAATTGAATAATTTTCAATATTTTTTATTAATTATTTAAAAAGTGCTCTGCCTACGACTAAAACTTTAAACATTAAGTTGTCACTAAAAAGTTGGATTTTGATGGCAAATATGTAACTACTTATTTAAAAAATTCCGAAAAATAATATGAAGTACTCGTAGGTGCAAAGTTTTTAATGGTAAATTTATATGCAACTTATTATATGATTAACATTTTATTTCATAGGCAGAACACTTAAATAATCAATCACAAACATTGAAAACTCTTTATGTTTGAAAATTGATAAACGACGTTGCGACTCTTCGGTAAGCAAAAGTTGCTGACCATAAGCTTCTCCTATAAGAGGGGTTTGCCAGTAGTTGCTACACTTGGCAAGTGTTTTTTTTTTTTATAATGGGTGATAATGATATGGTAACCCCGCCTGCGCTATCAGTATACACTGGCGAGGCACCTGTGAGAGGTGATAGGTGAAGATGAAAACAGGTCAGTTAGCCCATCGTAACAAATTCAGTAATCAATCAATCACGATAGTTACCACGGGGTACCAAGTGGAGGTCGACCTGATAGGGTATTTTGCTAGTAATGGGACTATTTGACCCCATTACTAACAATCCCTTTCTCCCTGGCAAGTGGGTTAGCAACCACAGACTTTGATGACGTTTTAAGAAAGACACTGCTACACATCCCTTGACCATAAGACTCTCTTAGCCAGGATCACAAGGCGAAAAATTAGAATCGTTTTCTGCATTGATTCTGTTTTAATGTTTCGTATGATTCAACTGTTATGTTTGTGTGCAGAGCATGCCGCCGCCCGGCCCCGCGTGAGGCATGAGCGGCCGCGGCGCGGGGGGGCAGCGCTGCCAGCTCATCCTGCAGCGTTGCCTCGCGATCCACCTCACCAAGCCCGGGAATGCGCCTGACGACTTCTGGATGTATGACTCTGGATATCTACTATTTCAGGTCAGTCCTAATATTTCAATTTGTGTTCGCAATTTAAATTTAAATGGTGGAATGTAAGTAGTTTGTTACTTTAGTAAAAACCTTACCAAGCGCGGGAATGTACTTGATGATTTCTGGATGCAGACACTGGATATTATTACAGGTCAGTTTTTAAATTTGTGTTCCTATTTTAAATTTTAATTAAGTTATTGTTGTTTCTGTAATAAAAATAAAATTAATATATTTTTCTAATTTTGATTATAATAGTGGAATAAGTTGTGTATAGTATAGTATAAATAAATGAATATATTATTAATGAAATAAGAGTAAAGATGTTTAAAGAAAATATTATGTTGACTCATTGTCGAGGTATAAAAAAAATATCACATTGCGTAATAATTCGCGTATTTAATTTAATTTCATTATTATATTTACAAATAACATCCAAAACTGTATCACAAAAGATGACACTTTCCGAATTTGCTACGTACCATCTATGTTTTTTTTATATATTAAAATTATGTGGATTCATTACATCATATTCTTATAAAAATATAAGAGAATACCGTTGTTATATATATGGATTATTTTAATAATATATAAATTATTGAAATATGTTTAAAATGTTGTTACCTTGAAAATTAATAAAATAGGGGTAACCATAGTGAATGCTTGAAAGCTGCCTCGAAATCAAGCAAGTGAAAAGTTGACCTGACACATGTCCGAGACTGTTCTGATTTAGATACATAATTTATTTATTGACTCATACGTATTAAAGTTCTGTTTTTGTATTATCTAGGCTTATTCAACTTAGTTGCTATGCCCGTGATTACGGTTAACATGAGACTTTACGTTGAAAATTCCTTTTGCTATCAATGGACCACGTGGATGTTTTTGTTTTTTTTTTTTTATCTTATACCTATATACAATGAGAAACAAGTTGACGGTTCATCTGTTGGAAAGGAGTTACTGTTTTCTATAATTATGAATATGCCCATGAGCCATGATTTGATTCTTATGTTTTTTAATTTGTATAGAAGTTCCATAATCTTTGACCAATTACTAATATAAATACATAATATATAAACACAATCGTTTCCTGAGGAACTGTGTAGAGTAGACCTGACGAAGTAGTGATGGCAACGTAACTTATAAATTAAAAAAAAAATGTTTTGCGTCAACGTATAAAAGAATGCGATTAAATTTAAAAGTACTAAACAGACGCTAAAGTAATTAAATATAGAAGTAAACGATAAAACGAGTATACAAAGAAGTACTCCTGTCCAGTGGCCGAGTGTTCGCAACAAATTAAACATGATTTTACGACGCATGCAATGCTGCAACCTTTATTATTTTATCTACGCTGCAGCTGAGCATGCACGCATGCACATAACTCGATGACCAATGATATTTAGATTACATGTCTTTAAGAGCGGTTCTTGGTATTTTTTTAAATATTTTCACATTATACTAGTTAACTTGTCAAAGGTTTTTCGCTCTCCTACCACCATCTATTGGGTTCATTATTATTATCGTAATCTCTCAAGTTGGATCTAAATTCTTGTAAATGTATATTTACAAAATTTCATCAAAATCGGTCGAGCGGTTTCGGAGGTTAGCATAAACGAACATTGTGATACGGATTTTTATATATTAAGATTATATTGTAGTTGTTTGTCAACGACTTATTTTTTTTTATACCACTGAGGTGGTAAATAAACATACGGCCCACCTGATGGTAAGTGGTTACCGTAGCCTGCAACACCAGAGACATTACGCGTCCGTTGCCGACCCTGAAGAAACCTCTATAGCCCTTTTTTGAAGAACCCCATGCTTCTTTTTATCATGAGGTGAATAGTTTTTTATACCTTAACAACGACATTCTAGTAACGGCATATAAGATCGTCTGTTATGTAATTTTGGTTCTAAATCTTTTTTACTATTAACACGTGAATAAACGCTATCAAATGTAAAAAGAATCAGCAAACCCGCTTCAGAGTTATTAGAAATACAATAATAAGACGAACTGAAAGAATCCTATTTGTGAAATCACTTAAAACTAACATTTATTAAAATTACGTCTCTAACTTCTAAACATGTTTAAATTTAACCATTTGAGGGGCATTCACTTAAAACTACAATCAGATGCTTCAGTATACAATAATAAATAACGTTAATTACAGAGCGTATCGTTTGGAGAATAGTAAACGTTACGAGTACTTTATCTGTGGTATCAGAGATCAAAGAACTGAAATAAACTATTTAATAATTAAAGAGTGTTTGACTTGTGCATTTTGCTATATTGGTTTAAATCGAGCTGACCGAATAAATTATTCATGTGTAGACATGTCGTGTGGTTTAAATAAAAAGATTAAGCGTTAGGAGTATTATTAACCCTTCTTTGCATGATGATGGAGATTTCCATCATAACATTGAATACCCAATAATTATATAAGAGACCAAGTTCACTTTAAGTTGATCGTGTTAAATGTCCTTTTAAATGTCCATTGCAAAAACATAACTGTCAAATTTAATTTTTAATCATTTTTCTTTAATTTTGAACATGAATTATATCAGCTTGATTTATTTCACCAATAAAAAATCATGGAAAGAAGGGTTAATTTATACGCTACTAGCCATTCACTCCTGTTTTCTGCAGGTGTAAACTTACATATTTTCTGGAAAAAAAAAGACTTATATGGTAGTTACACCCGTTTTAAATTCTGCGTTGTTATTTATATTTACTTGCTGTTATTTTATGCACATTATACCTTTTATTGTATAAGTTATATACTTATACAAGGTATATACTTATACAGGGTCATAACGAATGACCAAACCGCAGTGATCTGTTAATTAAACTTGTCTTACTAATATAATATAATAACACTGTAGTTACAAATATCTCTCAAATACAGACATCGTCTAGTTAGACTTAGACTTTAGATCAAATTAATATGTGGGGTTTTAATAAGACCAGTAGATTTGCTCAGTTTACGAAATGAGCTCCCCGTGGAGGATTTTCCAATAGTGCACAGCATGGGGTTCTACAAAAAGTAAAGAAATTTCTTCAAGGTCGGTACTGCCTACGTGACGACATTGCAGGCGTTCATAGGCTATGGCAACCGCTTACTAACAGGTGGGTTGTTTGTTTGCCACCTCAGTAGTATAAAAAAACACGATAGAATTATATCCTTACTCGTCCATCTTCGATCGAGTAGATTAAAACGAAAACTTTTTGGTTTACAATAAAGTGAAGGTATTTTTCAATAATTATATATATAAATCCATGACACAATGTTCAATATATACCTAAAGATCTAACTTAAAAACTGGTATATGTTTTAATCTTGATACACCATGCAGAAACAGTGATTTTCATTAGTTTTTCTACTTTTGAAATCTACATGTACGAAGTAGCGAGCAAAAAGCTAGTATGCTAATATTTTTTATTTCTCGCTTGGTCTTCAGCCTTGCACCAATGCACAAGACCCTAATTGAGTGCATAGACGCCTGCAAATCAGCACGAACTGGTTGCGACTTTACACATTTGCACTATTGAAGTGTGAATTACAAGTTACAATTCTATACCGTGTGAGATCAATTTACGATATCGCTTGACCATTGCCGTCTTATTGTACGTAGTGAAAACTTATGTTTGGAATAAGTGTATCGGTGTGAATGTATATCTTTATTTGAAAGTAATCCTTAGTTATAGGGGGGAAAGGAATTGTAAGCAATGGAGTTTGACGGCCCCATTGCTAGCAATATGCCTTATTAGGTCGACCTCCACGTGGTTCCCCCTGGAAACTATCGTGAACAACTCACCTATCATCCTTCACTGGTGCCCAGCCGGTGTATGCCGATGGCGCGGGTGGGGTTACCATTCCATTATCATCCATTAAAAAAAATCCTTACTTATATTTTTAATGTGAAAGTGAGTTTGTTTGTTACCTTTTAGTGTATTAACGGCTTGACCAACCACTATGAAATTTAGTATAATACATAACAAAGGGATGGAAATGGATATAGTTTATTTTTTATCTAAGTCAGTGAACATATCGCGATCAAGCGGACTGAAATAAAACAAATAAGTTAAAGAAATAAAATAAAAAAAAAAAAAAATTATAACCTACAGGTTCCAGGACTTTTGGCACTACTCAGGATTATAGTTTTTGTTATAATATCATATGACCTAACACGATGGATTTATTTATTCTATGGCTACTTTCCATCTTCATCATTAGATCATCTTTATGGTAATATTGTATTGTTATCAAACCTATATCTTCTTTTCATTTAAGAGTTTCCTCTTGTCGGTGCAACTAATTCATGCATGTTCCTCCAGCCAGCTCTATTCCAGGCCATATCCTTTATCTCCCTATACGACATGATGCCTAGTGTTTCCTTTATCCGTCCCATGTAGTTAATCCTCGGTCTTCCTCTTCCTCTTTTGCCCTCTATCTTAACCTATATAAGTTATCTAAATTTCATAATAATCGGACACCAGAAAATGGTGAAAAATAGATTGCAAATTTTGAACGCAAAGACGTATCATTATCATTATCATACCAACTGTTAACTGGCCACAATTGGCTTGCGGGTTGGCAACTGTAATTAGGCTTTGGTGATGTTTGAAGCAGGACGCTGCTGCCCATCCCTTGACCATTAAATTTTCTTAGGCATACATACGGGAAAGGAAAGGGTGGCCTATTCTATGCTGGGATTACACAGTAACATACGAGTACAAAGCAAGTTAAATAAAAGCTTGTAACATAGAAAATATTTATTAATTTATTCTTGTCTACGGTCGACTGGTAGATAACACCATGTGGCATTATTTTGGATTTACCTTTTATTAAGTTTAAAACTGTAATTAAAAAACACTTATTGAACAAAGCCTATTACATACTTAACGATGACTCGAATGACAAATGTGCATGGTGTTAGTCGATCATGCATGGGCTTTAAATGACTATATAATTTTATAAATAACACATTTAAATAAATACTCATAAAGT